TAATAAATACAATAATACTAACAATGAACCCTGCAAGTGAATATCCTTGGAACAAAAAAACAATGGCCACTTAGGATCTCAAGATACTTCTTTTAGGTATGAGTACACACCATAACAAAGTGTCCGCTTAAAGAGGTATCTGACTACAAGAGGTCTCCATTTGATGACAGAGGTTTGACGAAATTTCAGAAATCAGCTGAATATAAGTTTTGGAAACTGAAGTGATAGACACTGGATAAAAAAAACACCCCGTAGGGGTTTCCATACCTCTTGATTTGGGTGTGGCCAAGGGAAGGGATTTTTTAACATAAACCTATCCCAATCACTGATTTACACATTGATCAGCACCTTTAGAAGGATATCTTGGAGTCAAGGGGTCACCAGTTCCAATCAGGATTGATCCACGCTGTACTCCTGACCGAGGAAGCCACCAGCCATGGGGATAAAGATCTTCATTTGGTACAGGTGCAAAATCTTGTGGGTCATTGTATATCAAAATGGCTTTTGCTCCAAAATTCTGTGCATTAGTCACCTGAAATTATAGCGCTGCTGTAATTGATGAAGGTAGGGTATTGCATTACTCTGTTGTGCTAAAGTGGCCCTCCCATTCAGAGTGTATCCTGTTTCCATAGGGAGAAGGATTATTGACACTTCTGCTGGATGGGATGCCAGTCAACCAGTTCAAATACATATCTGAACCCCACCCCTGAGGGAAACACAGTGGCTTCATGGTTAGAGTGCTTGATTTCAGATCGAGTGGTCTGAGTTCGAGCCCTGGCTGGGATCAAAGTTTTGTGTTCTTGAGCAAGACACCAGCTCTCACAGTGCCTTTCTCCACCCAGAAGTACAAATGGGCACTGGCAAACTTAATGCTGGGGATAATGCTACAATGGACTGGCATGCCATCCAGGGTGGAGTAGAAATACTCCTAGTTGCTTCATGCTATAGAAACCGGGATAAGCTCCGTCCGGTCCACTTGGCTTGTACGCAGACTTAACCTACCCCACCCCTGACAGGGTTAGTTTGCCCATAGCAGTTTGACTTAGTTTATGCTTACATATTCCTGGTTCGAGAGAAACACTGTGAGTATGAGTATGCCAACACAAAAAATCTGATATTTCAGACTTTTTGGATCTTCCAAGATCTTCCAGCTATTACTGGAATGATGTTCCTTTACCTACAGTATCTACATAAAAACCCAACTAAAAAGATATTTCAAAGAGCACTTTCCCAGACTATTTTGCTCAGCACCAGCTGGTCCAACTCTGACTATCACTGCTGGTTGCAGTTTTTAAACCCCATGAATTCTCACAACAGGAAAATCTTGTGGATACATGGCATGGCTTGCTTTACAAATTATGAATAACACATGAAATAAAAATTTATGACCCATTTAAATTTAATAGTTATCGTCTTCATTTTCATTATTTTTGTTTTTGACTAGAAATTACGTGGGTCATTAAACAGGAGTTTTTAAGAGGTTTTTGATGGCATGTTTTTTTTCCATGGGATTCCCCCATGAAAACACTCTTAATTTAGGCCATGAAAAACTTGTGAAAAACTCCTGTAAACCTGTGATTTTCACATTAAATAGTTAGAATATTTTTTATGGATTTCAGTCTCTTAAAGCATTGCAACAGCTTACTACTTTTTGTAATTTACTCTCTTCTCTTGCATCAAGTTTTCTTTTTATCTTAAAAATAATAATCATAATTTATTTCAAATCAAGGGCATAAATTATCTTAATTAGTCTAACTATACCTTGTCACCCCTGAAGACATGCCCATATCTTGCAATGACAATCTTCCCAGAACAGTTGATGTTCTTTTCCAGCAACAACTTGAAATCATCATATCTTCCATAATTTACATAAATCAAGTCACCCTGAAAGACAACGTAAAAAGGTACTTTAATTAAATAGTAATCCAAAACAAGATCAAGAGATGATCATGGGTCACATGAACTTTAAGACATACATGTACGTGTACATGTAATACTGTTTAGCTGGTATTGTCATCACATTTACATTATGGGACTAACATTAATTTGCAGGATGAAACCCTAGTGTTTGACCATTCATTTGAAAGCTATTTCCAAGTACTGCACTTCCCAGTGGTGATATTCATTTTAATTAAATTATATTTGCTTGAACTAGCTTGTAAATGAAAATTTAGGAAATGTTTTTCAGATATGCAACTCATGTCAGAGCCACTTTTAGTTACCTTAAATTTCCCAGTTGGAGAGTAACCACTAAATGGAGGTAGCGCATCTGGTGACTCCTCTGAGGGTTCTAAAGCCTTCTCTGTTTTTGCTGTTTGAAACCTGACAGTTCCATTACCATCTTGAAGAGAAGCTCCATTTATCTTCCCTTTCTCCGGGAAAGAAAGAAGTACATTATACTTGATCAACTTTGCATCAAACCCAAAATCTGTCCATTGATCCCTGATAAAATGAGCTAATTCAGTATTTCTTGCAGAGCTTGCATGATGAGGATGAAGTGTCAAATTCCTAAAAAAAAAAAAAAAAAAATAGTAAAAACAGTTCAATCATGAAGTCAATCTGTCGGCAGAGTTTTTCCTTATGATGAATGCAAGGACCAGCAATCGTTGTGCCATGTCTCTNAAAAAAAAAAAAAAAAAAAAAGAAGAATATTATTAAGCTCTGGGTTAACAAAATTTCCTTGTTCAATATGGTTGGTTTAATGGTTAGCAAATGCGCTGTACTCTGACGAGCAGTCCGGGTTCAAGCCCTGGCCAGGGTCATTACATTTTCTTTATATTCCTGGACAAGACAAGCTACTCTCACAATGCCTCGACTTTCCATATGGACTATTCAGTAATGCTTAAATTACATTTACAAAAAAATTGAGGTTTAGAGGGTTTCATTTAAAGAAGATGGATTCTTGATGTAGAGAGTTGTACATTTTAATCACAATGTCCCTGAACCGTTTTGGAAATACCTTTTTGCTGATCTGGATTTTTGGAGTTCGGGGGTCGGAGGGGGAGGGAATGGGGTGGAGGGGGGGGATTGCATGCCAACAACAACACAGCATGCCACAATAACAGAATCATTTACATTTAGTTTTTGAAGTATTCTTAGTTCTACGTATATCATCCACATCCAAATTCCAAACAAAACTATTCTTTTAAATCAGAAGAAATCGCGAACGAAGAGAGAAATTCTCACGTGCACAACCTTCAATTCACGAGCACGCACACGAAACACGAAATATCAACTTGTAAGAGAAATTTGCCAAGCGATTAACAACTGATCGATTTTACGTCAACGTTTGCTCTTAACAGCAAATATTGATATTTAACTTAACCATCAGACAAACTTTTCAAGTTTAATCAAACGATTACCTCAAATTTCGTTCGATGTTCTCGGCGGACATTTGCGCCAAGACGTCCTGCAGTCGAATTCTCGAAGGAACTGGTGTTGAAGTCGGAGAAACGTCTCCATTTTTCTTGCATTTAGACACAGTTCTCCTTACCATATAACCAGCGATAAATGCCGCAATTACAAGGCCAACCACGACCACTATCGCAGCAACCCGCACAACATTACAGCGCGAGGGAGTCTTGTTTTTCACGATAATCGTTGGTTGCGCAAAGCTTTCCTCCTCCGGGTGTAGTTCCATTTTGGCATCAAACAGGTAAGAAGTGTCAGGTTTATCCATCGGATCACGTTTTAAGAGTCAAATTCAAAGAAGTTTGAATTAATCCTGGGAATTTCCATCAAGGGGTCCGCTTGCATGCGTTCCAAATGCAAAGTGCAATGGAAATTAGCGACCACGCCTTCTTGCAGATGGCCCCGTTCTCGCGGTAATTTTGGCGAATAATCGCGAAATAAATATTTGATTCGCGATAAGTCGAGAGCTTCACGGAATTTTGAAGGAGATGATTTGGAATTACGACATCTTAAACGTGAAAAGTGGAATTGGCGCGCCCACGTCTGGATAACAAATTCAGAGTGAAAGACAGTTTTTAGCGACAATTTCTATCCATTTTTCGGGAAACAAAATTACAATAGGTCGTGCAGTAGGACATGAATCGAACATGTAGAGATAACTAATTGGACACTTATCGTACTTAACATTTTAAAGTATCATTTCCATAAATTAAAATCCTAATCAGGAATTCTGCAAAAAAAGAAAAAAAATAAGAAAAAAAATCCTGGTCGAATGACAATTTGAAATTTGCAACAATAAACGAACATTTTAAAACGACTTCTTTACCAGAATATATTTTTTTACAGGCAAAAGCTAATAACCTTTTTCGCATATTTTTCCTTTCTCCGGGGCAGACGGTTTGGGGATATTAAATCCCATAGGAAAGATCAAAAAGCGTCCGTTGACTTGTGCGAAATCTTTACTGTTTTACATTTTATTTTCAATTGTCATTTTAATTTTGAGCGATTGCTTAACCGTTCTTTGTGGCAGTTTAAACAAGTTTTCAATTGTAGCGTATAAGTACAAATCAGTTCTATTAAACAGCTTATTGTCCCTTTTTAATTAAAAAAAAACTAACCAAATGTTGAATCACAATCGCCTGATTTCCCTTTGATATTACCAAGGCCTGAAAAAATTGAAATTTTTCATAAATTTTCGTCGGTTAGCCTTTTTTTTCTGATAATTCAGATTAGCTAAATAATCGGGGTCCCGAGTTGGAATAACGCATTAATTTGCTGACATCTATAACCAGTGCATCCTATAGATCAACAATCCACTACAGGCTACTACATATGGAAAAAAATAAACTAAAATAGGCTAATACATGGAACAAGCCCTTTTAAACAAACGACCAGTGTAACATTGATGAACCAGTTTCCATGTGTCTTATGTCTTACAAAAGCTCTCCTGAGATTTTGAGAAATCCTTTCTACTCCAACGCAATATTTTTGTTGGATTCAGTTTCCAGGATGGGTATAATTAATTGTTATACACCTGTTGGCTGTGAGTTAGTTCATAAAATTTCGGAATCACGAATCACGAATAAATAAGAGCGCAAATCGCGTTTCACGGAAAAAGAGCCCCAATCATGCTTCACGCTTAAGTGTCGGAGACTCTGAATAATTAATTACTCAACCATTAAACCCCCTTTTTTCACTTTAATGTTTAAGTTATCTTTAACAACTTCAACTACTTGTTATTTGAAGCATTTCGGCGTAAAAATGTATGCATTTGGTAGAACCTTCGATTTTCTTAGGCTCGATTTCCGGTCGTTTTGTGACGTCCACCCCGATCTCCCAAAACGGCTGGAAGTCGAGCCTACGATCCTTGACCCGTTACGCGAGCGTACAGAGCCTGCGTAGCAAGCGTTCCGGTTCGAAGAGAAAAAAATTGACGAAGCAGGGGGTGGTGGGGCGAGAGAGGGGAAAAAATATCGTACATACGCTTCAGAGCCACCTTAAAGTTTTGAAAATTTAAGGTGGCTCTGAACCCTATGCACAGAATTTTTTCAAACTTTGCACTCTGACTTCAAAAATGAGCTTTTCCAGGTCACGTGCCACGATAGTTAATGAATAACTAGCTCCTTAGTATTAAAAAGTGGTGTTCATTATAAACACGATAACGTTATAATGAATGGTTCGAGAAGTATGGAATTAAGTTCATCCTGTCCATAAGCAAGTTGTCCAGGAGACAAACCTCAGAAAACAGTGTTTTGAGAGGGTTTTTCTCGTGAAATGTTGAAAAAGTATATTAATATTAACTAATATTAACTATATTAACTACATAACAGGAAAAAATTTCATAAATTGCAAATTTTGGAGGTTTAAGACCTAGATAATTGTGTCCTTCATCAATGTTGAAAATTTGACAACATT